CATCCTGTCATGTTCACAGCTACAGTTGGGATACCTTTGTTTTCATGTTACTCTCATGTTGGAAGAGGACATTCAGTATTTTCCCAACAGAATAATAAACTGTGTGTGTTTACACATACAGATACATACATACATTTTGGAAGTAACTTGCCCAACACTGCAGATGATCCAGTCATCTCGATGCTGCTTTCGGGCTGTGAATAAACAACTTGTGTTTTACTTTTAGGCTGTCTGAAGGTATGGGCAGCTATCAAAGCTACTATACATCACATTAAGAACGTTGTACAAATGAAAGTCGGACACAAATATATAATTTAAATGATTTATTCAAGTTTGCAATGTTTTGAACAGGCATCCACACAGTCCCCTACTTTGTAATGTTCGATACCTCCCTGTAAGCGTCACGATATCGACCTCTCCCCCACAACCTCACATAGGAGTACTGAATGTGCATCAAAGTGATCTTAGGAAGGCAGATATAGCAAAAGATGAACGTAAACAACAAACGAGGCGATCGACATGTTTATTTCCTGGTAAGTCAACAATGGGTCCTCAATGTACACGCCCCGGTTCCTATGATGAAAATAATAGAATGTCGCCAGTTGTCATGACTCAAGTTATACTGCAACACCGGGTCCGTGGGGCCTAAAGGCCCTGACACACCAGGCCGAAATCGGCCGTTTTCGTTAGTCGGACGACGAAGCGTGCCCTGTCGCCTAAACTCAATGGCTGATAGCTCCAGTACCGCGAGGCATGTTTTCGATGGACGAGAGTGAAAATGGAACGCACACGCTATTTGTTGTTTGTTTATATCACGTATTCTGTTCTTCTTTTCTGTCTTCCGCTTGTTGCCTGTTTTTAATGACGAATACACACCACCGCCGCCTGCTGTTAAGGAGAGTTATTGCCACTCACGCATGCGCAGTTCGTACGTACTCGGCTGAAGTATTTGCGGTGTGTTCCAGTGCGACACATGGCCAAGACGCAGGAGAACACGCCGACGCAACAGTCGGCGTCGGCATCGGCGAGTTCTCTGGTGACTGCTTGGTGTGTCAGGGCCTTAAGAGGTTGATCAGCACATAACTAAAGGAACAGTCAACAGTTAAATAACAGTTTTGCAGAAATGAGAAGAAATGAATTATCTTCTGATTATCATGTTTTTTGGGGCTTTGCATAGAGTGTGAAGAACTAAGACTGGATAATGATTCAACCTAAACAAACATTTCAACACTGCTTTTTGGAGTTTCCGAGCAATGAGTCAACATGAAATCCAAACTATTGACTTCAACTTGGCCCTTTTGCAGTTGAATAATCATTGACAGAGAGGTAGCTTTAAAGACTCATCAGGGACAGACTCACAACACCATTTGTCTCTTCAAAGGTTCATCATGAGGACTGCTCTGCAGCTGGGCTTCTGTAGCCTCTGTCTGACTCTAACACTTCTGGGAGAAGGAATGTATGTATATTCTTATTTCATGATTTTCATTTGAAGGATTTAATTTGTATCACCTTAAGATTGGGTACAAGGCTAAATGTTGCACCACTGACTATGTGTATTTCAGGGGAGCGGATCTTCCTGATCCACCACCAGTGAATTGTGTTTGGAGCCGCTGGTCAGAGTGGAGTCCTTGTGATACCTGCATGAAAACCAGAGTGAGTCCGTTAAAAGTGTCAGAGACTACAAAACTCCACATTCAACTGAGTCTAATGAAAATATTGTTCTAGCTGGCATGTGAGTGCCTGTATAGCATAATAGCCAAATCCCAGTAACTACATGGTCAAAGTTGAGTTAAAATCAGTATTTCATTTCCTGACATCAGTTTTACCCAAAAAACCTATTTCATAAAAAGCAGTGGCTGTAAAATGTACAACTTTAACTAACATAATAACTTTTTCCTATTGACTAAATAGTTGCATTGGTAAGACATCCTGAATTGTGTGTGTTTTCTGTGCCCTGTTTTGGCAAAGTGCCTGAAAAATTTTTTAAAAATGTTTTTCGCAGCTTCACTGTTTCTCCACTGTTTACGCTTGTAATAAATACACAAAACAATTGTTTAACATAGATGCTTAACAAAGTGCAATACCATGTGTGCCCCTCAGAGGCGGGCTCGAGGTGTGGAAGTGTTCGGTCAGTTTGGGGGAGAGTCCTGCCAGGGGTCCCTGGGGGACAGAGAGGCCTGTGTAACAGACGCTGCCTGTGAGCTGCCCCCCCCCCCAACTGCTCAGACTCTGAGTCCCGCTGCGAGTCAGGTACTGCAGCTGCTTTTTACTCACCTCTAAACAATACCTCTATTTATTTTCAATGCCTATAACATGCCTATCAACACAGGAACTTGCATCAAGAAGAGATTAATGTGCAACGGGGACTATGACTGTGAAGATGGATCAGATGAGGACTGTGATCCTGTGCACAAACCGTGTGGATCATCCGTTCTGGACAATAATGAGCAAGGCAGGACAGCAGGATATGGGTAAGAGTTATTAAAAAGACATTTCAGTTGCAATCAGAGTGAATATACAGTAATATGAAAGTTAAATGAAGGCATTGTTACTGCAGGGAAGAACACTGATATTACATTATATCGGCCCATTTATTGTGACAATACGGGACTCCTATTAATCAAAGTATTAGTCAGTGGAGATGCTTTCTTATGTTTTCTAGTTGTTTTCAACAAAAAAGTGCTTTGCAAGTAAATAATAGATAAAACAATAGTGTGACATTTTGGGAACTATATGTAGTCACTTTCTTGCAGTTAGATAAGAATAAATATCAGATTATTTTTGGCATAAAAAGATTGAAAGCAGGAGAAAGCCTCACTCTGTCCATGTGTAAAAATGTCCCAAAACTTTAAACTATTCAGTTGAATGCAAGTAATAGATCATGTGTCCTAAACTTTTATAAGCATGAACTGTGTCCATGCACCAGAATCAACATTCTGGGTGCAGATCCTCGTATGAACCCGTTCAACAACGATTACTTCAACGGGAGGTGTGATCGAGTGAGGAATCCCAACTCTGGGAAGCTGGATAGAGTTCCCTGGAATGTCGGTGTGCTCAACTATCAGGTTAGCCCAAACCGGTTTACCTACTTTACCCTGAACATGTACGTGCTGCCAGAGACGATTTGATAATTCTGCACTCATAAATTGTTGTCTCCATGTTTTCCAGACTTTAGTGGAAGAAACATCTTCTAGAGAGATTTATGAAAACACACACAGCCTCCTGAAGGAAATGCTGAAAGAGATGAGTTCTAAAGTTGATGCCGGACTTTCTTTCAAATTCAGCCCATCTGAGGAATCCATGTCAGAGGGCACATCATCAAAAGTGGGTTTAGAGTATGAGTATGAGAAGAAAAAAATGATAAAGGATGTCTCAGAGATCTTGGTCATCAAGGTAAAAAAAAAGACACTATTGTGTGACCCATCTCAAATAGATCCCATGTGTATTTCCTAATGCGTTTCTCCTGCACACACAGAACCAGAGCTTCATGCGGGTGAAGGGCACGGTGCAGCTGAGCACCTACAGGATGCGCTCCCGTGAACTGAAAACGGCCAATGAATTCCTGGAGCATATCAAATATTTGCCTTTGCGGTATGAGAAGGGTATTTATTTTGCCTTCCTGGAGGACTATGGTACTCACTACACCAAAAATGGGAAGACAGGCGGTGAATATGAGTTGATCTATGTTCTCAACCAGGACACCATAAAGGCCAGAAGTATGTGTCTCTACTCAAACCAAATGTATTCTTGCACAATGTTAAAAAGTAATAAGCACTCATCCTAAATACTTCATAATTCTTGCAGATCTGACAGAGAGAAAGATTCAGGAATGCATCAAAATGGGCATCACCGCAGACTTTGGGGGAGAGGTTGAGGGACACGTGAAAGGCAATGAGTGTGATGACGTAACGAACAAAGACCAAGGTCAGCTTTCCCCGTTTTACCTGATCATAGGATTTGTGAAATATATCTTAATACTAGACGATACTCACATGCCATGTACGTTGAGATTTGTATCTTCAATCATTCTTCCTGTCAATACTGACCATACAATAATTCCTTGGTAGTGGGACTACACTGCACTGAGGACAAAATACACAGCCATGCTTAAATGCAGCTTCACTATAACTTAGGCAAATTGAGTGGGTATAGTTGTTTTGTTAGCTGCTTTAAGAAGTATTCCTCTGACAAATCTCAGCAAGGAAAAGCTGGGAGAATTTTGTGTAATAAAGGCCATAACTTAATTGTATTTAAACACACCTGCAAGAATCTGAGGCCACGTTTACACGGAGACGAAACGGGTTGTATCCGCTACAGTTCTCTATCGTATGGACGGTTCATCCACACGAGGCCGTAACGGAACCGCGGAAACGTAGCCCTCAAACGATAACGGCTCTCAAGGTGGGTAGATCTGTGGACGAAATGCTCTGGGGGGCCAAACGGCTCCGTGTGTACGTCCTATACGATCTTTTCCTGATAACGATGACGCCATAGCCCTGCCTCTCCCCACCTCTGCTGCTCACCCCCACATCACCTGCGTCATTGCTGATGTGTTTCGCCAAAAACAATGGCGGATCACAGGGTTGCTTTCGTGCTCCAGACGCTACTGACCATGCTACAGATCTTAGTGCAAAATCTACAGCTCCTCTACCACAACCATCAGCAACAAGTGGACATGGAGAACTACATGAACTACCGTAATTTTCGGACTATAAACCGCGCCTTTTTCCCTATTTTTCGACGCTGCGGCTTATATAACGGTGCGGCTAATCTATGGATTTTTACAGCTAACGGCCAACACCTTTAACTCTATGGGCTCTATGGCCGGTCCGCGGACCCCCACCTTTAAGCGGCGGGTTCCAGCAGGAAAAGCTGGAGGCCGGAAAAGAGTGAGACAGGTAGCGCGCAAAAGTAAAAGTGGAAGCGAGTGGGGTATATTCAGGCGCGCCTTATAGTCCGAAAATTACGGTACATACATACTTGCCAACCTTGAGACCTCAGAAATCNTGCGCCGTCTGCTGTAAGACGTATGCATGGCGTGCTTGCGTCACTGACACCGCAACAGCCTCACAAATGCAATCGACGCAGCAATTAGTACTGTGTGGTTTGCCCGCTACTGTGCTTGGGTGAAAAAAAAAACATTCGTGCAGTACGCACTCATTACCTCCGTCATACGCATGTTGTCCTCCGTCTTACGACACGCCATACGAACTTTTTATTTTTCTTTTACTATTTGATTACTGTTATGTTTTTTATATTAATTCTACGCATGACGCTGTGGAAAGTGGACTGGAACTTTCCTTCTTCATCTTTACTAGGAAGCAACACTTCATCAGACTGGAAACACACATAGTTAGATTGGGCTAGCACGTCGAGACCGTAGACTAGACGTCACGTTGTGATCGACGCTCTACTGACTGGCGACTCGTATCTACCTGTTATATTGTGAAATCCCGCCTGTCCCGATGGGGTTAATCGCTGTTGTACCTTAGTCATGTCACCAGTACCGTTTCCTCTTGTTTTATTTGTGCTTCGTCTCTCTACTCAATAACAATAATCGTTGCACTGAACTTGATAATATTATTGTTCGACGATTTAAATTTGCAGACTTAATAATCCACCAATTCATGTAACAGTCGATATTCCATTCTTTACCTAAATTTGAAGCAATCTCGCTAATATGTATGACTATGTACTAAGTCGAATCATGTTTTACACACGTTAATATTACATGTACCCGTACGATCCGATTGTACATGTGTAAAGGTGTTGTCTTCAATCTGTATCGTATGAAACGCGAAAACTCCGAAACGGTTTTCTGGTCGACACAGTACAACAGGATGAACCCAACGAGTTAGCGCTCCTCAACCGAAGGATACCGGGTGTATAAAGCCTCGGTATGAGCGTGTACGCGTCGACCCGGTCTAGCCTCGGTCTGCGACAGTCTAGCGGCATCAACATGTCACGCGAGGCGTGGTGTTCCGTCAGCGAAGGGACACCATGGGCATTGGACCACGCTCGTCGCCGTTCCTGTGGTCTTTTTTAGACCCCATCCTCGAAGACCGCAGGAAGTTCTGTCTAGATCGGAGCTTCGGACCAACGCCAACATTCGGTATTTGCGCTTATGTACATTCGGCCGCAATCGCATTTAGTCTTATGTTTTTAGGTGCATTCATTCTCTGACTCCTACGCGACTTGCGCTGCGTCGCGGTCGTGTCGGTGTAAATAATTTACAATTCCGTCACATCACAGCATCTTGTACACAACCCTATTTATACAACTGAAACAAACGTAAAACAACTAGCTCGGCTTACTCTCTCACACAAGGGCACCTTTTCATTTCGTCTCAAGTCATTAATCTATCTGTAAAACACTCCAATAAATAAAACGCCATGATCAAATAACAACTAATTATGGACAATCTTGCGGGCCGGATGAGAATGTCTGGCGGGCCGGATGTGGCCCGCGGGCCGCCAGTTGGTGGTCACTGTACTACAGCGTCTCCAGCGGGTCGAGCGGTCTCGTGTGGACGGACACGTTTCTTGAGCCGATTCCGTGTGGACGGAATACTTTTTGGATATCGACTAAGTTTCGTTTTCGTATCTCTGTAAACGTGGCCTGAGCCTAACCTCTAAAACCAAGCCTTGTGAGTAGACTGAGAGCACAGTAATCGTGATGTGTATGAGTAGGGTTTATGGTAATATATGAGTGTGAAAGTCACCAAAAGTGTTCCCCTGTTGCCACACAGTTGAAACTAACGGAAAAGCACTGGTGGACAGAGTGCTGACATCGGTCAAAGGTGGCACTCTACAAACTGCTGTGAGTATGAGGGCTAAATTGAATAAGGAGGGAGTGATGGATCTCGCTACGTATCAGGAGTGGGCCCGGAGCATCGCTGAGGCCCCTGCACTGCTGACCAGTGAGGTGAGCATGGTGTGCTTTCTTGCATTTCTTCTGGGAGTACGCACATGGTTGAATGTGATCATAAGACGCTCGGGAGAAAACATCAGCTAAAATAATGGAATGTTTCATAAAAGAAAGATTGATTGGCATAGTGTAGCTGTAACAGTAACATTAAAGATGTCATGCTATGATAACAATGTAGGGATGGTAAGGCCATCACTCTGATACAGACTACACTATTGCAGCTATTGGATTACTTTTTTACAGACTTCTTGGTTTTCCAGAGGATAAGTTTAGCTTTCCTCTGAATTTGAATCTTGCACCACCAACATGGCGTCAAATGTATCACTTATCCTATGAAATATCTCAACTCGATGAATTGGCCCAACATCTGATGCTTGTAGTAAAAATCCTCAACAGCTATTGGATGGATTTGCTGTGCGGACATCCGTCTCCCCCTTAGGATAATTTTTAATAACGCTGACTTGACTTCATGCCTTTTGAAAATGTTCTGTTCTGTATATCACGGCAAGTTCAGTGATGCTCATTTTGTGTTGTTTCTGACAGCCTGAAAACATCTATATGTTAGTTCCATTGGACATGCCAGATGCTAACTACAGGATATCCAACCTGAAGCAGGCCACCACAGAATACGTGGCAGAGTACAACGTGTGCAAGTGTAAGCCTTGTCATAATGGAGGCACTCTTGCTCTGCTGGATGGGAAGTGTATCTGTCTGTGCCCCCCCCTGTTTGGAGGCATGGCCTGCCAGAATTTCAAGTCTAAAACCCCAGGTAAGGGTAAATAGAACCAGTACCACATGTACCAGCAAGGCCTTAATGTCCCTTTAGGTCATTACATTAAACCCTTGGGAAATGTTTTGCAGCTCCTGCTGTGAATCAGGAGGGTAATTGGTCCTGCTGGTCCAGCTGGTCCAGTTGTAGCGGGGCGAAGCGGGCCAGGACACGCAGCTGTAACATCGACGTGCTTCCTGATGCCATATGTAGAGGAGACATCAAGAGTGAAGAACACTGCTGAGAACATACATGTCAACAATGTCTCTGACACACACATGGACACAGACCCTTTATGTCTTAGAGATAAAAACAAAGGAACATTTTGGTCTTAACACGCTTAGTTAGGAGATAAGAGCCATCTTGACGGTAGTAGATGTATTATCTTTTCAATTTACACACGGCATCTATTGCACGTCTGTCCGTCCTGGGAGAGGGATCCCTCCTCTGTTGCTCTCCCTGAGGTTTCTCCCATGTTCCCCTTTAAACTGTGGGTTTTCTCTGGAAGTTTTTCCTCGATGTGAGGGTCTAAGGACAGAGGGTGTCGTATTGTCATACTGATATTCTGTACACACTGTGAAGTCCACTGAGACTAATGTAACATTTGTGATATTGGGCTATATAAATAAACATTGATTGATTGATTGATAATATGGTTAATAAAATCTGAGTTTTTTTATCTGTGGATAGATGTTTCTGTTTAGTTTTGGGATTTATATGTTTTTTGATTACCATTTAATTGTGAATATGTACACATACTAGAAGAAAATAAGATCCATGAAACCTACATTAACCTAACACACAGGTCTTCTACAGATGTTTTAGTACAACTGTTACTAATTTTAAGGAAAGTTAACAGCTACAACACAAATATCAAGTGTAACGTGTATAATGTATTAAAGATGCTGCTTCAGTCCTCTGCTCTATACTGTACATTTGAATCATACCTGCTCTATTGTCGGAACACTAAACTATTTTAAATTCTTTCCCCAAATCATTTTATTCAAAAGTCTCTGATCTTTTACAGCGCTAAATGTGATGGAAACTTCTGAAGCAATGGAGACAAAACTCAGAGAAACACAGGGAGAGCAGGAACTTTGATGGAAAACACTGATGGTTTATATGGAGCTTCGGCCGGAGAATTCACAAAACATGTGCTGAGCCACAAGGTGACATAGCGGTTGCCAAACCAATTCTGAAGATCTTTACCCTAGACCCATGTATTTAGCTAGTTCTGAGAGAATAATCAACATTGTGCTTAACAAGATGAAGCTCTATATCACCTCTATCAGCTGACGCCAACAGGCAGGAACAGGGAGACAGAAGACAGAGCACAGCAGCGGATGGTTGCAAGCCTGTGCTCAGTGAGGGCAGGATAAACTGATAAACTGGGTCAAAGTTGTGAGCCCAGGAACATATTTTCACCAATACTACATATCAAAAAGTGCATGTCCTATTTAATCATTAATCAGTCAGTCTTATAGTCCATTTAGATCCAAACAAAGTTGTGGATATTTGACTAAAAACAACAGAGTGTCTCAACACATAAGTTGAGTTATAATAGTTTTGTCTGAGGTACATACTAATAGGCTAATAACTCATCTTTAAAAGCATGAACACATTCCAGGCTCTGCAAATGAGAACCAGATGAGTAGAAACAGGGAGGACAGAAAATGTATGGAGGACAACGAGGGATTAAGGTGTTTGACATAAACATGACAAAACATATGTGCATTTTTATGTATTTACCGTTCCTAAATGCACTTTCACATAGGCCTATGAACACATGAATCTTATCTGCTTAGAATTAACGGAATTTATATGGTCAACTTATGCTGGGACAAATCGTTAAAGTTCTAAAAAAAAAAACAGCAAGAATTTAAGATAGAAGAAGAAGAATTGGAGGGATGAAACCCTCTTTAATGGTCACACATGCAGAGCACACAGCACACACAGTGAAATTGTGTTCTCTACTTTGAACCCATCCTAGTACCAGGAGCAGTGGGCAGCTATTGTACAGCGCCCGGGGAGCAATGGGAGATGGAACTAGAGTCTATATCTTTAATATTAGAAAAAGACAGGTGTAGATAATAAAGTGTCTATTGATAAAAGGGTTTCTTAAAATCATTACCATTGTGATATGGCTTTCATGCTTGTAAAGTTGCTCTCATGATGGACAAAAAGGATGAATGTCATATTTGCTTAGCTTAACAGCCTTTGATAACCATGTTTGCTTATGGATTTAGTCCTTTAGCTCCAACACTGCAGGCATGACTGGAGATCCTCCTGCCAGAGGACGCTTTGCTGAGCAACTGCTGACAGTCTCACACAATATATAGGAATGTGCACAGACCTGTAAAAGGGAAATATGCTCGCAAAATCTGAATTGCTATGCCTGTGTGTGAGTGTGTGTGTGTGTGTGTGTGTGTGTGTGTGTGTGTGTGTGTGTGTGTGTGTGTGTGTGTGTGTAGTGGGGGGTGATGAATGCATACTTGAGAGGTAACCATTGGGGGTGGCAGCCCCTGGCCTTTAGGATGTCAGCATAATGGAGTAAAACTTTGGGACCTTATTGAGCTCCAGGGAGACCCCATTCACTCCGGACAGCACCTCAGCCTCGGGCCATTATCTTAGCCTAAAATGTTTTGTTCTTTCTTCAGCCTTCAACAGAACAGTTAGCACAAAATAATGAACCCCTCTTCATCGATAGACTGCCCAATTCTCTTTTTACTAATATTACCTCATACTAGAAACTGAGTAACAACTGAAAATGTAAAGATAACATGATCTCAAAAGTCAGAAACTTGTGATACTTGAGTTTATTATTCAAATATAGACCTGCTCTATTAAGTGGGTGAAACACATCTCAATTTGAACATCTGAACAACTTATTTTCTAAATAATGTCCTGAAAAATATAAACATCTTAAAATGGGTAAAATATGTAGGCAAACAGAAAACATGAAGTTGTTTTAACTTTAAAAATCCTAAAATTCCTTGCTTTGCAACTGGTCAGCAAATGAATTCACGGTTAGCTCTCAAAAGGAGAACCATTGTTGTCTCATCTCATAAACATATAGTCCCTGCTTTCTATGAAGAAGTGGTAAGGGATATTTTTTCAACAAAAGCCCTTAGAAGGGTGTGAAAGGAGCCCCTTCGCACTCCTAAACGCCTGGACACAGTTGGAGGTGCCCCCTCCCCACTTCCCTGGGTCACTAAAGGCATTGAAGTTTTAGAGGGCTGCTACGGCAGATTACTCCACACAGCTGCCCCAGCACCGTGGAAATGAAGTTATGCCCCCTTGTCAGCTATGTTTTGTGTTCCCCCCTCCTCCTCTTCTTCGCTCACTCCCTAAAACCTTACACTAGGAGGCCACCTTTGGATGCAGGAGGGAATCAGGGGAGGAAACGGACAACTCCTATGCAGCCATGGCAGATAGAGAATCTGATTGGCTGATTAAATATTCCCTCTTTGCATCATTATTCAGAGGCTCGAAATCCCTGACATTCAACCCAGCGCAGCCCCTCTCCCATACCATTACCTTCCCCCATTAAACCTCAATCATAAATCAACCCTTCCTCCACCTTTCCCACCTCTAAGCTCAGGGTACGGCCTGCCTCAAGTCCACCCCCCAGCCTTCAATTATTGTGGGTCACTGGGGTTTTTCATTTCACTTTGGCTAAGTTTGTTTATTTTCGGTCAATACACTCCAAGTAACCTATGACACCATGTTTAAAAGTTTGAAATAAGAGTCTGGTAATCACACACTTATTTCAAGGATTACAAGCAATACAACTCACGCTTGCTAAATCCAATATACTCAGAAGTTTTGACTGCTACAGTCTGATTTTGTACAGTATGAGTATGACCTAATGGTGGCTAATTTGGAGCTAACGTTAGATACTGATGAGTCACTAATTTCCCTCAACCCTCTATACTGATACATTATGTTTATCACATCTTACACAGACATTTCAATGGTTCATTTAGAAAACCACAGGATATTTATCTATCAGTATCTTTTGGGGAAAGTAGTCACTGTTCAGCAAAAGTAATTTAGTCTTGTTTCAAGACAGTAGCCAAATGGGCGTATTTTCTTTTAAGTTAAGATCTTATAGAGCTTCAATAAATGGTTAGTTTTTTTAATAGACTTATAATTTATTCTATAAGATATAGAATAATAATAAGCGCTTCAGGATTTGTCTTGGCAGATGAGAAGCGCTAAATAAATTGAATGTATTATTTATTATATAAGAACATAGAAAAAAAATGCTTTATACAAGTTCAATAAGACTAAGGAGACGATTTTTTGTTTTGTCCGACCAACAGAAACCTAAATATTACTTTTATGATGATTTGAAAAAGATACAAACAGAAAGCTTTAAACATTTGACTTGCTGGGATAAGCAAACATGTTTTAAATTATTTTCCTTTCCAAAAAATGATAGTAAAATCTAACAATGAAGAAATCCAACACTAACATCATAGATCAACAACAATGGTCATGACAGTACTAATCCACTATTTGCACGAAGGGTCTGTGATATAACAAGTTGAGAGAAACTGACAAAACGAAGTCCCAAAGAATTTCTCTTCCCAAAAGCTTTTGTAGTCATTTTAATGTACATTCACTGTGATAATAAAATGACGTAGTAGGGGGAAATAGTGAGTAACACTCCCATTGCACCAGTGGCCAACAGAGAGATATTGTCTGCAAAGACTATCCAAAGTAGGGCTGCCTGTTTTTCCTTGGTGTAATCTAGAGGAGGACGGTTTGGGGCGGGGTAGACGGGAGGTGGGCCAAGCACCACTGTGAGTTATGATGAGGCAATTTTAATGATGTTCTGGTCCCTGCACCAAAGGCCCCAGTTGACTCTTTTCTGTTTCGCTATTGGAAAAAAAACAACATTCCTATTTCCTTTGGTGCCAAAAGTTAATTGAAAACATTTCAGGGCAAAGTATGGTCTGGGGCCCCATATGATTCTCATCCGTTCATTATCCTCAACAATGATAAAAAGGCATTACAATTATTAATGGTTGGAGCAGAGGCCTTCTCTCTTAAAGTGACAGTGTCAAGCTTTTGCTTCTCATAACAAAAGGCCCCGAAATGCCTGCACTCCTTCACTTTGTTGGTATTTTTCTTACAATTGCTGCCATAGCTGGATTTATTATTTGGGTCTGTTTTTATGAAGACTGTTTAAAGACTGATGATAGCTTGTGTTTTTCAGTTGAGTCATATAGTATAATAAAGAGTGCAGAATATGTTAGAAGTGGGAGAAGACTTCATCTAATTGTAAGATAACTAACTGGTAAACAAATGTATCAGCAGGAGTTGGACTGAGCAATAAAGCTGAACTTTCTCACATAACTCCTCTGGGATAGCTGTCTCCCCGTGCTCCCCCACTCCCTGAAAAGGGTGACAGAGTGAATGAAGTGCCCCAGCATTGTGCTGCTGCACCATTGTGTATTTTTCATCTCCATAATAGAGGTGCCACTCGACTTCTCTTCCAATAAATGGGCTGGAGGGCCCATCTCTTTTCCTTGAAAAGCAACATGGCTGCCATCAATAGTTTCAAGACCCATTATCACAAGTGAAGGAGGGGACGCTGGCTTTTCTGTGAGTATAGAGAGCTGACAGACTCATAACAGGAGTCACAAGCATGTAAACAGGCGGATACGCCATCACTGCTATCACTTATTTAAAAGAACATCAAACTATGTAGCTTGAAATCTTTAAAAAAAAATCCATTATACTGTAAGCACTGTTTTGTAAAAGTAATCTTTCTTTGGAACCACCGTGTAGAAATGTTTTTTTTGGAACTGTTGTTGATTTATCATACTTTAGGGTTATTTTTAAGATTTTAAAGCAGGTAAACACTTGATATCTAAATAGTGCATGACAGTAAAGCTTGGGTAAATATCAAGAACATCTAAAGGACTTTGACTTGTGAGGAATGTTTTTGGCTAAGGCCGCTAAAAGCAAGTAAAGT